CGATCTCACCACCCCGAGATCATGAGCTGAGCCGAAATCAAGAGTTGGACGCTTAACCGATGAGCCACCCAGGTGCCCCTTACTGTGTCTTTTCCCTATTCAAGCTCTGTCCAGGTTAGAGAAAAATCAGCTACCTGACTTTGAAGATTCTGGTCTCTTTTAATGATCTTAATAAGTTTGGGCTGCTAAAATAGAATATCACAGACTTACATACAACAGAAATTTGTTTCTCATGGTTCTGGAGGCTAGAAATGTGAGATCACAGTGCCAACATGGTTGGATTCTGGTGAGGTCCTCTTCTGGGTTGAGGACTGCTGACTTCCTGCTGTGTCCTCACATGGCAGAAAGGGGTCAAGGAAGTTCTCTGGGGCTCATTATATAAGGGTACTAATTCCATTTATGATGGTTCCACCCTCAAGACCTATTTACCTCCCAAAGGTCCCACTTCCTAATATTATAACTTCAGGGATTAGGATTTCAATTTATGAATTTTGGGGGGACACAAACATTCAGTCCATTGCAATGATCATATGAATTATTAAGTATATGAGTTCCTCCCTCCGTCCCTCACCCCTTCCCAGTGTGACCCTTCAACTAATTCTTAGTGAGTGCCTACCATGGGCCAGCCACTGTTCTGGAGGGAGATGCAAGATAGACAAGTTCTGCCTTCATTGAAATTACATTCTAGTGGAAAGACAGTAAGTAGTACAATAAATAAATAAACGTATAATGTAATGTGAAGTAATGGGTAGGTGTTATAAACAAAACGAAAACATACTGAGATCCAGAGGCGTGCTGTTTGAGATAGGATGATCAGGCAAGGTTTCTCTGAGAGTGTGGTGTTTGGGCAGAAATTTGAGTGAAGTAAGCAAGACATGCAAATGTGTGGAGGAAAAAGAGTTTCAGGTCTAGAGAATAGCAAGTGCAAAGGTCCTGTCACATCTCGGATTCTCCAGAAATCAGATGTTGAGACAGAGTTGGAAGGACAAAGGATTTACTGGGGAGTAACACCTATGAAAGGGAAAGGAAGGAAATTGGATTGGGTAGAAGAGCCATCAGACTTGCATGCACCTGTCAAATTCTTTGCCAGCCCAATGCTGGGTGGGGGTGGGGGGGGGTTCCAGAGCAGTACACCAAGGAGAACTGATACAACATTCCGCATTTGGTGGAGGAAATGACCAGGCCTTTCTGCCCAACTTTGCTCGGTCATTTGACCAGCGACTGTCCTGAGAACAGAGTGCTCTCAGCTGAGAAAAGCTGAGGTGGGCCTTGAGGAAGCTAATACTGGAGTTGTAAGTTAAACATGCTTCTTGTAGGTTGGGCAGAAATTCCTTTCTTTGAAGGGGAATCTGGGTGGTCCATCTCTGTTTCTGCCACAGGCCCTTAAAACAGAAATATGCTCGGTGTGTTCAAGGAACTGCAAGAAAGCTAACGTAGCTGGAGAAGCATGAGAGGGAGGGATAGGGGTCATGGCTGGGGACGTAGCAGAAGGCCAGAGCAAGTAGCATCTGTGGGCTGTGGGAAGATGTTGGAGTTCATTCTCAGTTTGGTAGAAAGCCATTAGAGGATTTCGAGGAGGGGAATGACGTACGGTTTACATTTTGAAAGGATCGCTCTGCCATAAGCCATTATGTCTGTTTATCTATTGCTGTACAACAAACCACTTCAAAACTTACTGGCTTAAAACAGCAGTGCCTTATTTTTCCTCAGAGTTCTGTGAGTGTCCTGCTGGACTCACCTGAACTCATTCACCTGGCTGGATCTGGGTGTTTTAAGATGGCTTCACCCACATGTCTGGACCTCACCTGGGACAGCTACAGTGACGGGGATGGCTAAGCCTCTCTCCATTTGTTCTTTCATCTTCTGCTTCATCTGAAAGTGGAAGTGTTCCAAAAAGTCAAGCTCTACTGTGTAAGCTCTTTTCCAGCCTCTACGGGCATCAAGTTTGCTAGTGTTCCCTTGGCTAAAGCAAGGCAGATGTCCAAGCCCAGAGTCTACATGGAAGGAGAATATACAAGGGTGTGGATATCTGGAAGTGTGATTCATGGAGGCCATTGCTGTAACAATTTACCACATTAAACATAGTTTTAGTTACTTCCTTTTTTCTGATCCTCTGCTCATCAATTTATCCTCTGCGTATAATTTAGCTTCCTACATAAGTGTGTTTCCAAGAAAATAATGCACCAGTTCCATAGACTTCACATATTTCCTATTGCTGGGATAGCAGTTTCTTACTGTAAAAGAATAAATTGGCTGGTTTCAAGGACAAAATGCCCACTATATGGACTTCGATTATTTCTTACTAGACCAGTGTGGCCTGGGGACCCTCCTAGCTAAGAATTATTATGCCACTGTGATCCTTCTCAAGACTATAATGGTGTATGTGTAAATTTGTGACTTCTGTTACTTCCACTGGTGATGGAGCTGCATTGAGATTTTTAAAAAAATGTATTGAACCGAGGAACTCTCATTCATTTCTGGTGGGAATGCAAAATGGTACAGCTACTTTGGAAGATGGAGCAGAAAACTAAACATACTCTTACCACGCTATTCAGTAATCGGCACTCCTTGATAGTTACCCAAATGTGTTGAAAACTTATGTCCACACAGAGACGTGCATACAACATTTCAGCAGCTTTCTTCATAACTCTCAAACCTTGGAAGCAATCAAGGTGTCCTTTAGTAGGTGGATGGATAAATAAACTGGTATACCAAGGTAATGGAATATTATTCAGCACTGAAAAATGATCTATCGAGCCATGGAGGAAACTTAAATGCATACTACCAAGTGAAAGGAGCCAATCTGAAAAGACTACCTACTATATGATTCCAACTATATGACATTCTGGAAAAGGCAAATTGTGGATACAGTAAAAGGATTGGTTTCTAGAGTTTTGAGGGGAGGAAGGGGTGAATAGAGCACAGAGGATTTTTAGGGCAGTGAAATGATTCTGTATATAATAATGTTTGGCACATGTCATTATGTGTTTGTCTAAATCCATACAATGTACAAGACCAAGAGTGAACTCTAAATTATGTGATAGAGACCTGTCAGTGTATCTTCATCAGTTGTAACAAATGTATCACTCTGGTGAGGGAAGTTCAAAGTGGGGGAGGTTGTACACTTGTGGGAAAAAGAGGTACATGGGAATTCTTTGTACTTTCTGCTCCATTTTACTGCTGGTATCCAAAACTGCTCTAAAAAATAGTCTATTTTAAAAATGTATTGAACCAGTAGTTCATCATTTTTCCCCAAAAAGTCAGCTTGATATCAGTCATCATGATCTAAACTTTGTAAGCCGTTTGGCAAGAATTTAACTTTATTATTTATTTTTATTTTTATTTTTTTTAAAGATTCTATTTATTTTTTTGACAGAGAGACACAGCGAGAGAGGGAACACAAGCAGGGGGAGTGGGAGAAGCAGGCTTCCTGCAGAGCAGGGAGCCCGATGCGGGGCTCGATCCCAGGACCCTGGGATCATGACCTGAGCCGAAGGCAGATGCCCAATGACTGAGCCACCCAGGCACCCCTAACTATTTTTTTTTATAGCAGTTTCAGGTTTACTGCAAAATTGAGAGGAAGGTACAGAGACTTCCCATATATTCCTTGCCTGCACACATTCCCCCTTATCAGCATCCTCCCACCAGAGTGGTATGTTTGTTATAATTTGTTGCAACCTATATTAACACAGTGCCCTAAAAATCCTTTGTGTTCAGTCTATATGTTCCTCCCCCACCATTTTTTTCATTTGACAAACCATCTTTAAAAAAATTTTTTTTAATTAACATATAATGTATTATTGGTTTCAGGAGTACAGGTCTGTGATTCTTCAGTCTTACACAATTCGCAGCACTAACCATAGCACATACCCTCCCAAATGTCCATCACCCAGCCACCCCATCTGTACAACCCCCCTCCCCTCCAGCAACTCTCAGTTTGTTTTCTGAGATTAAGAGTCTCTTACGGTTTGTCTCCCTCTCTGGTTTCGTCTTGTTTCATTTTTCCCCTCCCTTCCCCTATGATCCTCTGTCTTGTTTCTCAAATTCCACATATCCGTGAGATCATAGGATAATTGTCTTTCTCTGATTGACTTATTTCAGTTAGCATAATACCCTCTAGTTCCATCCACGTCGTTGCAGACGGCAAGATTTCAGTTTTTTTGATGGTCTGTATAATATTCCATTGTGTATATATACCACATCTTCTTTATCCATTCATCTGTTGATGGACATCTAGGCTCTTTCCATAGGTTGGCTATTGTGGGCATTGCTGCTATAAACATTGGGGTGCATGTGCCCATTGTGGATCACTTGTATCTTTGGGGTAAATACCCAGTAGTGCAATTGCTGGGTCATAGGGTAGCTCTATTTTCAACTTTTTGAGGAACCTCCATGCTGTTTTCCAGAGTGGCTGCACCAGCTTGCATTCCCACCAACGGTGTACGAGGGTTCCCCTTTCTCCACATCTTTACCAACACCTGTCGTTTCCTGATTTGTTAATTTTAGCCATTCTAACTGGTGTGAGGTGTTATCTCATTGAGGTTTTGATTTGTGTTTCCCAGATGCTGAGGGATGTTGGGCACTTTTTCTTGTGTCTGTTGGCCATTTGGATGTTTTCTTTGGAGAAATGTCTGTTCATGTCTTCTGCCCATTTCTTGATTGGATTATTTGTTCTTTGGGTGTTGAGTTTGATAAGTTCTTTATAGATTTTGGATAGTAGCCCTTTATCTGATATGCCATTTGCAAATATCTTTAGACAAACTATCTTAAGTGTAGCTGTGGACTTTATTAATTGGGTATTAGCTGTTGTAATTTTTACAGATTGACTTAACTGGATCAGGTCAAGGTTTCTGTGTTACATATAAAGCAGAAATATTGTGAAGGAAAACACATTTTTGGTAGTAATACAGATTACTTAAAATAGAATATGAAGAATTCTGCATTCTTCCTTCTGAAAATTAGTAATCAATACTCTTCAAATATTTTCTGTGTTTTGCCAGTTGCTGACAATATGAAGCCACTGGAGGGTGTAAAAATTCTGGATCTAACAAGGTTTGTATTGGTTTATCTGTGTTTTGGTGATTGAATTTTTCCTTTCTTTAAAAAAAAAACGTTCATTTGTTTTTTGGATTATAATGCTTACTTATCAAAGTTTTAGAAAAGAAAACAAAAAAAATTTTTTTTTTTTTTTTAAAGATTTTATTTATTTGCGAGAGAGAGAATGAGAGACAGAGAGCATGAGAGGGAGGAGGGTCAGAGGGAGAAGCAGACTCCCTGCTGAGCAGGAAGCCTGATGTGGGACTCGATCCCTGGACTCCAGGATCATGACCTGAGCCGAAGGCAGTCACTTAACCAACTGAGCCACCTAGGCGCCCGAAAAATTTTTATAATTTCATCATTCTAAGAGACAATTAGTGTATTTGTGCATTTTTCCAATCTGCATATTTATATATAATTTTTAAAAATAAAAATTAGTGAGCGGGCGGTTAGCTCAGTTGGTTAGAGCGTGGTGCTGATAAAAATAAAAATTAGAACCATATTGAAATTACAGTTTTAGGGGCACCTAGGTGGCTCAGTTGGTTAAGCGTCTGCCTTCGGCTCAGGTCATGATCTCAGGGTCCTGGGATTGAGCCCTGCATCAGGCTCCCTGCTCAGTGGGGAGTCTGCTTCTCCTTCTCCCTCTGCTCCTTCCCCTGCTCATGTTCTCTCTCTGAAATAAAAAATAAAATATTTAAAAAAAATGAAATTACAGTTTTACCCACATTTAAAAGATAATGTTATATTTTACGTATTTTTCCATGTCATTCAAAATTTGAGAAGAAGGTAAGATGATACTTTATTATATAGTTGTCACATAATTACTCATCCCCCAATATTTCACAATTATAAATTAGGTTTCCTTTTACATAAGTTTTTCCCTCAGGAAATCTTAGGATTTCTTCCTTAGCATAGAATTCTGGAAGTGGAATTACTGCATCAATGAGAATATACTTTTTTAAAAAAGTTTTTATTTATTTATTTATTTGAGAGAGAGAGAGCATGTGCATCGCATGATGGGGGAGGGGCAGAGGGAGAAGCAGACTCCCAGCTGAGCAGGGCACAGATGCAGGGCTTGATCCCCAGGAAGCTGAAATCATGACACAAGCGGAAGGCAGATGCTAAACCGACTAAGCCACCCAGGTGCCCCAAGGGAATATACTTTTTAAAGCTCTTAGTACATAAGGCCAAATTGCTACTCTGAACAGTTTTAATAGTTTTAATTTTTACTAGCATTATATGAGCTTGTCTATGTTAATGAGCTATTAAGAATTAATATAAAAATCTTCAAAGTGGTAATTATTTGTCATTGTTAATATTGTAGAGTATTGGCGGGACCTTTTGCTACTATGAATTTAGGAGATCTTGGAGCAGAAGTTATAAAAGTGGAAAGACCAGGTAAAGCTATCACTCCCTTTAAAACATAGAAACTAATACAGTTTTTTCTTTTTTAAAGATTTTATTAAGTAATCTCTGAACCCAACGTGGGGCTTGAACTCACAGCCCTGAGATCAAGAGTCACATGCTCTGCTGACTGAGCCGTCCTGGTGCCCCAAACTAATACAGGTTTGTTTTTTTTTTAAGGTTTTATTTATTTATTTGAGAGAGAGAATGAGATAGAGAGAGCATGAGAGGGGGGAGGGTCAGAGGGAGAAGCAGACTCCCTGCTGAGCAGGGAGCCCGATGCAGGACTCGATCCTGGGACTCCAGGATCATGACCTGAGCTGAAGGCAGTCACTTAACCAACTGAGCCACCCAAACTAATATGGTTTTTAACTGTTGTTGTTGTTGTTTTTTTTAATAACCATGTATCTATATATGGGATGAGAGAATTGAAATGAAATGATTATTTTTTCTTCTCCATTGCTTATTTTCCTCTGAACCTAGACTAATGATTTCTTCTTACTTTTTATAAGCTCCCAGGGCTAAGGCTTCAGCCAGGCCCTTCACACGTACCTGAAAGCCTCCAGTAGAGACTGAAATGCACCATGTAGTAACAGTGATGGTAACGCTTATCATAGTGTCAGGCACAGGTCTCAGCACTTTGCCTGTATTAATTTATTTGATCTCTACAATAACCTTATGAGCTGATGCTTTATTATTCCTAGATTATAAGTGAGAAGACAGAGACACAGAGACATAAAGCAATTTGTCCAAAGTCACACAGCTAATAAGGAATTCCATGCACTCAGCTCTGGTCCTGGCCCTCCTTAGCCCCACACAAGCCTTACCATTGAGACTGAGTTTAAGAGTTGGCCTGGCCACACTCCCTTGCTGGGGGATGAAGGGAAGGCCAGGAGGAGAGTAAAAGGGAGGAAGCAGGACATAAAAGAAGGAGAGAAGGAAAAGGAATCAGAGTCCTTCTAAAAGTAACCCAGATAGTCCAATATAAAAGTCATTCTTGGGGTGCCTGGATGGCTCAGTCGTTAAGCATCTGCCTTCGGCTCAGGTCATGATCCCAGGGTCCTGGGATCGAGCCCCACATTGGGCTCCCTGCTCGGCGGGAAGCCTGCTTCTCCCCCTCCCACTCCCCCTGCTTCTGTTCCCTCTCGCGCTGTGTCTCTCTCTGTCAAATAAATAAATAAAATCTTAAAAAAAAATAAAAGTCATTCTTTTCCGTTTTTAATAAAACAAATGTTTTCTCATTTTATAATTTTAAAGATTTTGTAGGAGAAACATTGAAGCTGAGATTAGTTCTTTGTTTTTGTTTTTCATCTCATATCTTTCCCATTTTTTCTTTCCCCTTTGTCCACCAAATAAATCTATTCTGTGTACACAATTCTCACTTTTATTTGGTACCTTCTCAGTAGTTTGGTGTTTAGCTCATGCTGTTATTGAAAGTTGTTTAAACCAGTGTTATGTATGCTCTTTCTCTCCTACAAGCACTTAAAGGGCAGAGTCCATGTTCTCAAATCCTCCACATCATCCTATAAAGAGCTTGTTGTGGAGGGTTTCGAAACTTAGCATTATTATTTATTCTTCAAGTTGGATCCTTATGGATATGGAACAGAATTACCAAATCAGTGAAAATGGTCTAGCCTTGAATAATGTGAGTATATCTGCAAGACTCATAAAAGATGAGTTTATAATTACATCACCTTATTAATCTCCCATAAGTAATTAAACACTATAAAGTAGAATACTTGGTGTAGAAGATTCAACTTTCTGCTAAACAGATTTCTTAGGAGGCCAAAGCAATTAGCAGAAGATTCTCTGATCAGCATGGGGAATATTCTATATTATTATATTGTGTTTATTTGACCCTATTTTTATCAGGCTCCAAGTGGTAGAAGAGCCTGGCGAATACTGCTTTCCAGATAAAATGAATGCTTCATTTGCCTAGTCAGTGATGTTTATCGCTTTTGGTTGTTGTGGGATACATGCTGAATAATGTTTACTTTCTGGCTGAATACCTTTTTTTTTCTTTTCCAGGTTTCATAAAACTTTAATTTCCATGTTATTATGCTAATTCAACACCACAGCTCTTTCTAATTTCAGCCATTGGGTCTTCCAATCCTAGACGGAGCATCCGATCTAAGTTCTCTTGCTATTTCAGTTAATCACTAGTCTAAATATTTGTATTTATATTAATTTTAGAGATCATTATTCCCTATTTATGTAGGCCTTATTTCTCCTTTGTACTTTTTCATTTCTTCAGTAGGGGGTACCTTCCTTTGTCTAGGCCTTTACATCCCATAATCATACACTTGGTATCAAGCTTTGGTCCTAGCAGGTTGTTGTTCATTGTTTTTTTCTTGATTGCTCTCTTTCCCTTAACCCTTCTGCATGATGCATTTTAATGTTTATGTTATATGTTTAATTGTTTTGGATTTTTTTTTTTAAGATTTTATTTATTTGAGAGAGAGAATGAGATAGAGAGAGCATGAGAGGGGGGAGGGTCAGAGGGAGAAGCAGACTCCCTGATGAGCAGGGAACCCGATGTGGGACTAGATCCTGGGACTCCAGGATCATGACCTGAGCCGAAGGCAGTCGCTTAACCAACTGAGCCACCCAGGCGCCCAACTGTTTTGGATTTTTTTTTTTTTTTAAAGATTTTATTCATTTATTTGAGAGAGAATGAGATAGAGAGAGCATGAGAGGGGGGAGGGTCAGAGGGAGAAGCAGACTCCCTGCCGAGCAGGGAGCCCGATGCGGGACTCGATCCCGGGACTCCAGGATCATGACCTGAGCCGAAGGCAGTCGCTTAACCAACTGAGCCACCCAGGCGCCCTGTTTTGGATTTTTGAGATAGTTATTCAACACAGATCTGAGGAAAAGTCACTTGGCAGGATTTTCAAAGTTCAGGAGAGAACTAGTCTTTTTTCATGTCCACTTTTCCAGTTCGTCCATCTGTTCCTTCTCTTCTCTTCTCTTTTCTTCTTTTCTCTCTCTCTCTCTTTCTTTCTTAAAGATTTTATTTATTTAGTTGAGAGAGAGAGAGCATAGCAGGGGGAGAGGCAGAGGGAGAGGGAAAAGCAGTTTCCCCGCTGAGCAGGGAGCTGGATGCAGGGCTTGATCCCGGGACCCTAAGATCATGACCTGAGCTGAAGGCAGACGGTTAACCGACTGAGCCACCCAGGTACCCCTCCAGGTCTTTAATTAAGTAAAATTTGGTTATAGTTTTCTGACTTGGGACTATTCTTATTTTTGTAATCAAAGAGCACATAAATTTTCTTTTTCTTTGTTCTGTAGTAACCGAGGGAGGGCAGCAAATGATGTTGCTGGTACTCATGGATTGTGCCCCGTAGGCAGGGATATGAGGGCAGGGGTGTGGTCTTTTGTTCACTGCTGTGTCTGCTCTGCCTAGAGCCCTGTCTGTAACATAGTAGGTGCCCAATAAATATTTGCTGAATGGATTGAATGTGTTGAAATATTGCAGTCTGAAATTTTATATGAAATCTCCAGACTTTGAAATCATGGCAGCTAGTTAAAAACTTTAAATTGTGTATGGGTCAAATAAAACATCTCTCAACTGCCAATGTTCCCAGTTTGTGACCTTTAGTCTGTCTGTCTGTCTGTCTTTCTTTCTTTCTTTCTTTCTTTCTTTCTTTCTTTCTTTCTTTCTTTCTTTTCTTTTCTTTCTTTCTTTCGCAAAGAACTTTATTAACCTTGTTTCAGACTTTATTCCCAGGCTTCTTCAGCTTAATTAGCTGCAAAGAATGAATTGTGTATAAGCAAAAACTGAAGAGAGCTGCAGTGTCTAAGGGACTTGGGCTTAAAAATATTAGAGATCTAGATTTTATCAGATCCATGAACAAAATTTTAAAAAGCAGTCATAATATAAAATAGCAGCTCCCAGTAACTTCTTCAAGTTTTATCTTCTTCAGAAGTTGACTCAATTCCGTTTGCTTCATTCTTGGAAGCTTCATCAAAATTCTCCACAAGATCTGGAACTTCATCATCATCATCCTCTCCAATAGCAAGTGGTGCTTTTCCATCCACAGATTGTGTGGGCAGAGCTTCAGCCAGTCTTCTTAAACTACTCAGACTGTCTGCACCAAGTTGGTTTAAGATCCTGGGTAGCATTTCCGTCAGCTGCTTTGTCCCAGCATGGCCTGGAATGGTGGTAGTGTTCGCTGCCAGCGATGCCTGAACTTTGGGGTGGTTAGAGGGCATCACTGTTCCTTGGTTTGTGAACATACTCACTTCTTCAATACCAGAGATATTGTTTACACCTAACTTCTTCAAGGAGAACTGAAGTTTTTTATCATCTGCTGTAGCTGTTCTATGAACCACCTTCTTTCGGCGAGCAGTTCCTTTCCCACCAATGTGCACTTGTGTTTGCAGTTTGGCAAGTTTCTCCTGGTTCGTGATAGTTTCTTTCATCTTGTTGGAGCAGAAATGGGACTGCATGGGGGAACAGAGTTGGTGCTCAGGGGGTCTCGAGTGGACCAGCTGAGATTAGGTGCACACACACGGGGACGCAAGATGGCAGCTATTTAGTCTTTATTGTCACGTGCCATCCATGCTGATTCTTTCCAGAGGCCACTGATCCTCTCTAAAGCCCTGGGTAGGAAAGCCATGTAGGCCTCCAATTAAGATTCCTGACATTATCTCCACCTGAGAGATGAATGTAAACATATAAAATTATCTAATTGTAGCCCTACCTTGACGTTGCTTTATTTAAAAAAAAATTAATGTATTGGAAACTTCAAAAAAATGGAAGTAGCTGGACTTTCTCTTGACTCTGACAGGTGCTGTCTGATCCTGAAGATCCAGATTCATACCTACCTTTTCGTTGAAACCTCTTCTTACTGGTTTATTACTGGAAGACTGCCTTTCTGGGATCTTGTAGCTCATTTTTTACCCTGATGTTTTGGGCATGCCATTCCATTTGATGCTTACCATGATTGCTTTGTTTTGTTACTGGTTCATTTCCAGTTAGAACTAATGCTTCTTCTACTTTTTTCTTTTTTTTTTTTAAAGATTTTATTTATTTATTAGAGAGAGAGTGAGAGAGCATGAGTGGGGGGCGGGGGGCGGCGCAGAGGGAGAGGGAGAAGCAGACTCCCCGCTGAGCAGGGAGCCTGATGCAGGACTCCATCCCAGGACCCTGGGATCATGACCTGAGCTGAAAGCAGATGCTTAACCAACTGAGCCACCCAGGCACTGCTAGAACTAATATTTCTTTTCTCCTCTAGCCTGTGTCCTCTCTTTTCTCTTGTGAGGTTGTTTTTTTGTTTTTGTTTTTTTTTTAATAAATGAGTCTATTCTTTGGCCTCTTGTTTTGTTTTCCAAAAGGCTGTGTCTGTTTTTCTTGATCAGTTTCAGTGGTAAAGTCTAATGGGCTAATAGATTAATTATATTATTTAGATGAGATTAGAATTTAAACCTAACTCATATTCACAAGTAGTCTCTTCTTGGGGGCTAGTGATAAATACTTTAATTGTAATTACTTATATAGTGATTAGTTTCTAATATCAATATTTAATCAGACCTTATAAAATCCTTAAAAGATACTGTTTCGTGCCATTTAATCATTGATTTTCTGAGCTCTGTCTACATTGTCAGTTGCTTTTTGTGCAAAGGAAAATTTTTCTGTAACTCTATAGTGTTATCTTTGAATCTAATACAAATATATCCCTTGAAGTAGATGTTCAGGAAAAAACACCCTATATTTGATGTTTTTAAACTTTTACTTTGAAGCAAGACCTAGTTGACTAAAATTTTATTCTAGAATACTATTTGAAATTAAATGAACCTGCTATTCCGAAACTTATGTTGCCGTTTATGATTTGTTGCTATAACACACAATTTTTTCCCAATTGTATTGAGAAATAATTAACATAAATCACTGTGTAAGTTTGAGGCAAATGACATGATGGTTTGATTTACATACATTGTTACCACAATAGGTTCAGCTAACATCCATCTTCTCATGTAGATACAGTAAAAAGAAAAGAAAGAAGAAAAGAAAAAAGGAAAAAATATTCTTCTTGTGATGAGATCTATTAGGATTTACTCTCTTAACAAATTTCCTATATAACATACAGCAGTGTTAGCTGTAGTCATCATGCTGTACATTACATCCCTAGTATTTAATTTACTTTTTGACTGGCAGTTTTTACCTTTTGACCACCTTCCTCCAATTCCCTCTGCCCCCACCCTCCACCTCTGGTAACCACAAGTCTGATCTCTTATTCTATGAGTTTGGTTTTTTAAAAAATTCCACATATAAGTGAGATCATACAATATTTGTATTTGTCTGACTTATTTCATTTAATAATGCTTTCAAGGTCCATCCATGTTGTCACAAATGGTAGGATTTCCTCAATTTTTTATGGCTTAATAGTGTTCCATTGTGTATATATACTATAGCTTTATCCGTGCATCCATCAATGGACACAGGTGATTTCTTATTTTGCTATTGTAAATAATGCTGCTATGAACATGGGGTGCATATCTTTTTGAGTTAGTGTTTTTGTTTCCTTTGGATATATTCCTAGAAGTGGAATTGCTGGATCATATTGTAGTTCTCTTTTTAATTTTTTTTGGATCCTTCATACTGTTTTCCACAGTGGCTGTACGAATTTACATTCCTACCAGAAGTGCACGAGGGGTCCCCTTTCTCCACATCCTCACCAACATTTCTTTTGTTAGCTCTTGTCTTTTTGACAATGGCCATTCTAACAGGTGTGAGGTGATTATCTCATTGTGGTTTTAATTTGCATTTCCCTAATAACTAGTGGATGTCAAGCTTCTTTTTCTGTACCTGATGGCCTTTTGTCTATTTTCTTTGGAGAAATATCTTTTTGGGTCCTTTGCCCATTTTTTGATTGGGTTATTTGTTTTTTTATTTGAGTTGTGTGAGTTCTTTGTATGCTTTGGGTATTAACCTGTTATCAGCTATAGGGTTTGCAAATATTTTTTCCCATTCTGTAGGTTGTCTTTTCACTTTGTTGATGGTTTCCTTTGTGCAGAAGCTTCTCAGTTTGATGTAGTTCCACTTGTTTTTTTTTTTATTTTTATGTTTTAAAAGATTTTATTTATTTATTTGACAGAGAGAGACACACTGAGAGAGGGAACACAAGCAGAAGGATGGGAGAGGGAGAAGCAGGCTTCCCGCCGAGCAGGGAGCCCGATGTGGGGCTTGATCCCAGGATTCTGGGATCATGACCTGAGCTGAAGGCAGACACTTAATGACTGAGCCACCCAGGCGCCCCTCCACATGTTTATTTTTTATTTTATTGCTTGTGCTTTTAGTGTCAAATCCAGAAGAATCATTACCAAGACCCATGTCAAGGAACTTTGTTCCTATGTTTTCTTTTAGGAATTTCATGGTTTTAAGTCTTATGTCTAAGTCTTTAATCCTTTTTGAGTTAATTTTTGTGAGTGATGAATGGTGTAAGATATGGGTTTAGTTTCATTCTTTTACATATGAGTATCCAATTATCCCAGCACCATTTGTTGAGAAGACTTGTCTTTTCTCCTTTGAGTGTTCTTGGTTCCCTTGTCATACATTAGTTGGCCATATATGCTTGGGTTTATTTCTGGGATTTCACAGAAACTTAAAGATTTATTTATTTATGATGCCATTTTATTATAAAATCTCACTTGCCATTATTCTGGTTTAAATAATATTTAACAAAAATCTTTTGCAGACTCAGCATTTCTTTGCACATTTAATGCCAAGAAACAGAAAGAGCTGACCTAAACTGCCAAAGCTTTTTACTTTTTGACCTAAACTGCTGAAGATTTTTACTTTTTGCTTGCCAAAAACTGAGAGTAGTTTTTTTCTTTTAAATTTGACATTTATTAAATCTAAAGACTGCTAATAGGATATTTCTTTCTGGATATTGACTTTCAGGGATGGATTCTAGTAAAGATGATATGGTAGGACTTAGTGAATAACATGAGCAGGTAGAGTTTGGACAGTTCCAACAAGTTCTTATGGTCCCTCTAAATTGCAAATTCCACTGAATTGAGCTGATTTTGTTTAGGCAACTGTGAATGTATATGATGGGTGAACGTTGGTTTGGATGTCTCATGATGTTTAAGAGTTAAAAATTAATAGCTCATACTATTATTTTCAGGAGCTGGTGATGATACACGAACTTGGGGGCCACCTTTTGTGGGGACAGAAAGTACTTATTTTCTCAGTGTTAATCGAAATAAAAAAGTAAGAATATAATTTCTTTCTTTGTTTTTTTTTGTGTAATTCTCTTGTAATAACAAAACTTTTGATATCATCTTGGCTCATTCATTTCTATCCTTTTTTTGTATATAATATTTAAAATAAGGTGAAATTTTATTCATTCACCAAGTACCAAATAGAAACAAGAGAGCTTTTTACTAATCTTCCTTCTCTACTAACTTAAAATATTTCAAGAGAATTTCTAATTGTTTATAATGGAAATGATTTTATTAAAGAAAGAAATTATTTGATTCTTTACATTTTATTCTTTTGGAGATCACTAATTGCCTAACACTTGGTATTATTTGAAAAATTTTTACTGTTATCCTTGGTATCATCCTAATATAGTTACATTGCAAATAAAATCAGTAAAGATAATTTAAATGTTTCTTCATGAGGAAAATACACTTGCTTTAAGAGGAGAACATATGATATGAATGGCTCCCTTACTGAACTGTCAGTAATATGAAAACCTTTATGATACTATTTTAATATATATATTTTAATTTTTAGAGTATAGCTGTTAATATCAAGGATCCAAAAGGGGTGAGAATCATCAAAGAGGTACAGTATGCTCTATGGAAGACGTCTTACCACCTGGGTTGTAACTGGGGATTTGAACATCAGAGTAAAAGATTCTTTGAGTTAATTTTTTTAATTTTTTAAAAAAAATTTTTCTTTTTCCCTTTTTCAACCAACATCTTATCAATCGCTTTTTTAAAAATATCTTTTTTATTTTTCATTTTTAGAGTCATATTCTATCCCTTCATAGTAGTTAACCTTATTTTTGGTATATACATATATATAAGTTGTTCTCTCTTTAAAATATTGGGGTACAGTTTCTTCTAACAGACCAAAATATACCCTAAATCTCTAGTGTATGGATTTGTTCTAGTCTCCTGCCTGATCACATTCTCTCCCTTTTTTTTTAAATCCTCTTCTTTCTTTTTTCAACCAACTTATCAATTCCTTTTATAAAATCCTTTATAATTTTCATCTTTACAGTCATATTCCATCCCTTCATTGTATTTACCCTTATTTTTGTACATATATAAGCTTTTCTTTCTTTAAAATTTTGGGAGGTACTTTCTTCTAACAGACCAAAATACATCCAAAATCTAGTGTGTGGCACTGATCTATGCACCAGCCTGATCGTATTTGATCATATTCTTCTTTTTTTTTTTTATCTTTTTTTTTTCTTTTTTCATTCTTTCCCTTTCTTTTCCCCCAGTTTCAGGTCTCTTCTGATTTGTTTAGTATATATTTTTCTGGGGTTGTTGTTACCCTGTTAGCATTTGTTCTCTCATTCATCTATTCTCCTCTGGACAAAATGACAAGATGGAAAAAATCACCTCAAAAAAAAAAGAACAAGAGACAGTACTGACTGCCAGGGACCTAATCAATATGGACATTAGTAAGAAGTTGGAACTAGAGTTCAGAATGATGATTTTAAAGATACTAGCTGGGCTTGAAAAAAGCATGGAAGATATTAGAGAAACCCTTTCTGGAGAAATAAAAGAACTAAAATCTAACCAAGTCAAAATCAAAAAGGCTATTAATGAGGTGCAATCAAAAATGGAGGCTCTAACTCCTAGGATAAATGGGCAGAAGAGGGAGTTAGTGATATAGAAGTCCAAATGATGGAAAATAAAGAAGCTGAGAAAAAGAGATAAACAACTACTGGATCACGAGGGCAGAATTTGAGAGATAAGTGATACCATAAGACGAAACAACATTAGAATAATTGGGATCCCAGAAGAGGAAGAAAGAGAGAAAGGGGCAGAAGCTATATTGGAGCAAATTATAGCAGAGAACTTCCCTAATTTGGGGAAGGAAACAGGCATCAAAATCCAGGAGGCACAGAGAACCCCTCTCAAAATCAATAAAAATAGGTTAACACCCCGACATGTAATAGTAAAACTTCTGAGTCTCAGAGACAAAAGAGAAAATCCTGAAAGCAGCTCGGAATAAGAGATCTGTAACCTACAGTGGTAGAAACATTAGATTGGCAACAGACCTATCCACAGAGACCTGGCAGGCCAAAAAGGACTGGCAGGATATATTCAGAGCACTAAATGAGAAAAATATGCAGCCAAGAATACCATATCCAGCTAGGCTGTCATTGAATATAGAAGGAGAGATAAAAAACAAAAACTAAAGGAATTTACAAACAGGAAACCAGCCCTACAAGAAATACTGAAAGGGGTCCTCTAAGCAAAGAGAGAGCCTAAAAGCAACATAGACCAGAAAGGAACACAGACGATATTCAGTAACAGTCACCTTACAGGCAATACAATGGCACTAAATTCATATCTTTCAATAGTTACCCTGAATGTAAATGGACTAAATGCCCCAATCAAAAGACACAGGCTATCAGATTGGATAAAAAAACAAGACCCAGTGAAATGCTGTCTGCAAGAGACTCATATTAGACCCAAAGACACCCCCAGATGGAAAGTGAGGGGGTGGAAAACCATTTACCATGCTAATGGACACCAAAAGAAAGCTGGGGTGGCAATCCTTATATCAGACAAATTAGATATTAAACCAAAGACTGTAATAAGAGATGAGGAAGGACACTATATCCTACTTAAAGGGTCTATCCAACAAGAAAATCTAACAATTGTAAATATCTATGCTCCTACCATGGCAGCAGCCAATTATAAAAGCCAATTAATAACAAAAACAAAGAAACACATTGACAACAATACGATAATAGTGGGGGACTTTAACACCCCCCTCACTGAAATGGACAGATCATCTAAGCAAACGATCAACAAGGAAATAAAGACTTTAAATGACACACTGGACCAAATGGACTTCACAGATATATTCAGAACATTCCATCCCAAAGCAACAGAATACACATTCTTCTCTAGTTCTCATGGAACATTCTCCAGAGTGGATCACATCTTAGGTCACAAATCAGGTCTCAACTGGTACCAAAAGATTGGGATCATTCCCTGCCTATTTTCAGATCACAGTGCTTTGAAACTAGAACTCAATCACAAGAGGAAAGTCAGAAAGAACTCAAATACATGGAGGCTAAAGAGCATCCTACTAAAGAATGAATGGGTCAACCAGAAAATTAAAGAGGAATTTTAAGAAATCATGGAAACCAATGAAAATGAAAAAATAACTGTTCAAAATCTTTGGGATACAGCAAAGGCAGTCCTAAGAGGAAAGTGTATAGCAATACAAGCCTTTCTCAAGAAACAAGAAAGGTCTCAAATACACAACCTTACCCTACACCTAAAGGAGCTGGAGAAAGAACAGCAAATAAAGCCTAAACTCAACAGGAGAAGAGAAATAATAAAGATCAGAGCAGAAATCAATGAAATAGTAACCAAAAGAACAGTAGAACAGATCAATGAAACTAGGAGCTGGTTCTTTGAAAGAATTAACAAGATTGATAAACCGCTGGCCAGACTCATCAAAAAGAAAAGAGAAATGACCCAAATAAATAAAATCATGAATGAAAGAGGAGAGATCACAGCTAACATCAAAGAAATACAAACAATTATAAGAACATATTATAAGCAACTCTGTGCCAGCAAATTAGATAACCTGGAAGAAATGGATGCATTCCTAGACATGTATCAACTACCAAAACTGAACCAGGAAGAAATAGAAAACCTGAACAGACCTATAACCACTAAGGAAATTGAAGCAGTCATCAAAAATCTCCCAAAAAACAAAAGTCCAGGGCCAGATGGCTTTCCAGGGGAATTCTACCAAACATTTTAAGAAGAGTTAATACGTATTCTTCTGAAACTGTTCCAAAAAATAGAAATGGAAGGAAAACTTCCAAACTCGTTTTATGAGGCCACCATTACCTTGATCTCAAAACCAGACAAGACCCCATCAAAAAGGAGAATTACAGGCCAATATCCTTGATGAACATGGATGCAAAAACTCTCACCAAAATACTAGCCAATAGGATCCAACAGTACATTCACAAGATTATTCACCACGACCAAGTGGGATTTATCCCTGGGCTGCAAGTTTGGTTCACATCTGCAAATCAATCAATGTGATACAATACAATAATAAAAGAAAGAATGAGAACCATATGATCCTCTCAATCGATGCAGAAAAAGCATTTGACAAAGTACAGCATCCTTTCATGATCAAAACTCTTCAGAGTATAGGGATAGAGGGTACATAGCTCAATATCATAAAAGTCATCTATGAAAAACCCACAGTGAATATTGTTCTCAATGGGGAAAAACTGAGAGCTTTCCCCCTAAGGTCAGGAACATGGCACGAATGTCCACTATCACCACTGCTATTCAACATAGTATTAGAAGTCCTAGCCACAGCAAACAGACAACAAAAAGAAATAAAAGGCATCCAAATCAGCAAAGAAGAAGTCAAACTCTCTTTTTAGATGATATGAAACTTTATGTGGAAAACCCAAAAGACTCCACCCCAAAACTGCTAGAACTCTTACAGAAATTCAGTAAAGTGGCAGGATATAAAATCAATGCACAGAAATCGGTGACATTCCTATATACCAACAAGAAGACAGAAGAAAGAGAAATTAAGGAGTCGATCCCATTTACAATTGCACCCCAAACCATCAGATACCTGGGAATAAATCTAACCAAACAGGCAAAGGATCTGTACTCAGAAAACTATAAAATACTCATGAAAGAAACTGAGGAAGACAAAAAGAAATGAAAAAAATGTTCCATGCTCATGGATTGGAAGAACAAATATTGTGAAGATGTCAATGCTACCTAGAGCAGTCTACACATGTAATGCAATCCCTATCAAAATACCATCCACTTTTTTCAAAGAAATGGAACAAATAATCCTAAAATTTGTATGGAACCAGAAAAGACCCCGAATAGCCAGAGGAATGTTGAAAGAGAAAAGCAAAGCTGGCAGCATCACAATTCCAGACGTCAGGCTCTATTACAAAGCTGTCATCATCAAGACAGTATGGTACTGGCACAAAAACAGACACCTAGATCAATGGAACAGAACAGAGAACCCAGAAATGGACCCTCAACTCTATGGTCAACTCATCTTTGACAAAGCAGGAAAGAATGTCCAATGGAACAAAGACAGTCTCTTCAACAAATGGTGTTGGGAAAATTGGACAGCCACATGCTGAAGAATGAAACTGGACCATTTCCTTACACCACACACAAAAATAGATTCAAAATGGATGAAAGACCTCAATGTGAGACAGGAGTCCATCCAAATCCTAAAGGAGAACACAGGCAGCAACCTCTTCGACCTCAGCCGCAGCAACTTCTTCCTAGAAACATCGCCAAAGACAAGGGAAGCAAGGGCAAAAATGAACTATTGGGACTTCATCAAGATAAAAAGCTTTTGCAAAGCAAAGGAAACAGTCAACAAAACCAAAAGACAACTGACAGAATGGGAGAAGATATTTGCAAATGACATATCAGATAAAGGGCTGGTATCCAAAATCTATAAACAACTTATCAAACTCAACACCCAAAGTACAAATGGTCCAATCAAGAAAGGGGCGGAAGACATGAACAGACATTTTTCCAAAGAAGATATCCAAATGGCCAACAGACACATGAAAAAGTGCTCAACATCTCTCAGCATCAGGGAAATCCAAATGAAAACCTCAATGAGATACCACCTCACACCAGTCAGAATGGCTAAAATTAACAAGTCAGGAAACGACAGATGTTGGCGGGGATGTGGAGAAAGGGGAACCTTCCTACACTGTTGGTGGGAATGCAAGCTGGTGCAGCCACTCTGGAAAACAGCCTGGAGGTTCCTCACAAAGTTGAAAATAGAGCTATTCTATGACCTAGCAATTGCACTACTGGGTATTTACCCCAAAGATACAAATGTACGGATCCGAAGAGATACGTGCACCTGATGTTTATAGCAGCAATGTCCACAATAGCCAAACTGTGGAAAGAGCCAAGATGTCTATCGACAGATGAATGGATAAAGAAGATGTGGTATACATATGCAAGGGAATATTATGCAGCCATCAAAATGAATGAAATCCTGCCATTTACAACGATGTGGATGGAACTGGAGGGTATTATGCTAAGCGAAATAAGTCAATCAGAGAAAGACATGTATCATATGATCTCACTGATATGGGGAATTCTTAATCTCAGGAAACAAACTGAGTGTTGCTGGAGTGGAGGGGGATGATGGGAGGGATGGGGTGGCTGGGTGATAGACATTGGGGAGGGTGTGTGCTATTGAGCGCTGTGAATTGTGTAAGACTGTTGAATCACAGACCTGTACCTCTGAAACAAATAATATATGTTAAAAAAAAATCCTATCTAATGGATGTAAGTGTATGTGATTAGAGAGTTAAATACCCAAATTTGTTTCATATCAAAGCATCAACTTTGACATCATTGCCCTGCTGCTACTTTCCTTATCTGTCTGGCTGATTGAGAGATAATTTCTTTTAATTAGTAAGATCAGAATTAGTGACCACCCACTTTGGTTTTCTTGGGTCAATCCAGCAAATGTAGACTTTTTGATTACTAGATATATTTTGAACACAGAGTTTGATAATTGTCCTGATCTTACTGCTCTGTTTTCATACAGCTTTTCCTTACTGTAACTTAGATTTGTTTGTTTTTGTTTTATTTTTCAATTGAAACTTAATTTGATTTTTCTAATTTTTTCTCCATTAACTGTTGCCCTGCTCTATTTTTCTGCAGTTGTCTACCCTCACTTTGGACCCAATTCCCATGGTCTTCATTTTCAGACCATTCTTTTTATCTTCTTCTCAGTGGTTATTTTGTTTTATTAATTATTTTTAGGAGATTATTCTCGCCTTAATTCTCCTCTTTCTGTTCTCTCTCTCTCAGATTCATCTTCAGTGGTCACAGTTCCTGCTTCTTTGCTTCTATTTCAGAGCATTCTGATATTTTATCCTAAGTAGTCAAGGTTTCAGATTTCATTGAGCAGATACTTCACAATTTCATTAGAGCTTCTCAATGGGGCAGTATTAGGTGGAATTCATAATTCTTGCTACTAAGACATAAGTGTACATTTGAGTACTTTAGGCCTACATGTGTAGTGCTGACCAAAGTAAACGAATCTCTTGGACTTCCTTCTCACTGTCTTTGGATCTTGCCAGTCTTCTACCATCCTGCAGCAACTTTGAATTAACTTTCATTATGGGCTTGATTTCTCTTCATGTGTGATTGATGATAATAAAGTACATTTCAAGTCATATTAAACTTACATAGATTATATGGGGACATTATTCATGTCTGTTGCTTTTAGCTAGTTATACGTTTGTAGCTTTTAGCATGTTATGTATTGTATTGCTGGGGGGGGGAAATTATTTTTTGCCTAGTCTTTTTAATCTTTCTGGCATCAATTTCTCTTTTAGTTTAAGAGTAGCAAAACAGCCTCTGTATTCAGACCATGGTGGCTGTGATTGCTAATATAATGAGTTTAGTTTATGGAAACGGTTCCAAAGTAGCATACAAAGCAATCAGCTGGATACATGAGAGCTTCAAAAAATATGACTCCTTTGTCTCCTAGGCTAACCAAAAACAGCTTGCGCAAAAAAGAAAACTCTGCTTAGAAAATCTATGTGGAGCCTGGAATTTCCATAGCAATATGATTTGATAACTTTCTGATACATCATTTATACTTCAAATAATTCTCTATGTTAATTAGTTGATAGTCACAATATCTCTAGTGCACATGTTATGGTCCACAGAGTAATGTCATGGATTTTATTTTCTTCCAACATTTTATTATGAAAAATTCAAACCTACAAAAGAGTTGAAAGAAGAGTATAATGAACTTTCTTTAACCCTATGTCTAGATGCAGTAATGTTGTTATTTTGCTATATTTGCTTATTTATATATGTATACCTATGCGTGTGTTTGTGTGTATTTTTGAACTGTTTTATATATTTTATTAGCATTATTTTTTAAAGATTTTATTTATTTATTTGACAGGGAGAGACACAGCAAGAGAGAGAACACAAGCAGAGGGAGTGGGAGAGGGAGAAGTTGGCTTCCCTCTGAGCAGGGAGCCCAATGTGGGGCTCGATCCCAGAACCCTGAGATCATGACCTGAGCCGAAGGCAGATGCTTAACCAACGGAGCCACCCAGGCTTCCCTATTTTTTTTTTTTAAGATTTATTTATTTAGAGAGAGTAAGCAGGGGTAGGGGCAGAGGAAGAGGGAGAGAGAATCTCAAGCCGACTCCACACTGAACGCGGAGCCCAGTGTGGGGCTTGATCTCATGACTCTGAGATCATGACCTGAGCTGAAATCATGAGTCAAATGCTTAACTGACTGATCCCCCCCAAGTGCCCCTTGAATTATTTTAAAGTGTAAGATATGAAACTTTGTGCTGAAATCTTTCAGAATACATTTCCTACCAATAAGCATATTCTTTGATAACAACATTCTAAAAATTACTTTATGATTCCTTATTCATAAATGTGGTTAAATTATTATCATCACTTTCCTTTCTACTTCTGATATCCACTGTTCTTAAATTATGTCTAATGAAGAGAACCCAGAATTAGATACCCTATATTTCAATTAATTTTAGTTCTTATTACTACACTGTGACTGGACGGAAGATTTTCTTTTTTCCCTTTCAGAAAGAAAAAGTAGCTTCTCTACTCATACAAAATTGTGCTTGCTTTTTATTGTGGGTCAGATTCCAGAATAGATTTTTTAGGTGATTTGTGAGCACTTAGATGAGGAAGAGGTGATCACCAGTAAAACTGGAAACCAGTATTCTTACTTTATTTCCTAGTAGATTATTGTATCGGGGAAATGCAGTAAACACTTGGTTTCCCCTGAAGTAATTGTCATATATAACACTTGTAGTTCGAGTGGAGAGCAATATAACTCGGGGGGAGTTTTCTGATGGCTGAAGATATTTATTATTTGATCTTTTATAGAAAAATTTGCCCATCCTTTATCTAGAATCTTATTCTATTATGTTAGTTTGTATGTGTGACTATATCTAAATCTATGTGAAAAGGGCAATTAAAAAATTGTTGAATAATTATGAGGCACTTGGATATGTTCAAGAATAACTGTAATGGGGGCTCCTGGCTGGCTCAGTTGGTGGAGTGTGTGACTCTGGATCTTGGGCTTTTGGGTTTGAACCCCACATTGGGTGTAGAGATTATTTAAAATTAAAACCTTAAAAAAAAAACTAGTGCAATGAATTTCTCTGGGTGAAATAGTATAACTTTTGGATGATTTTAAAACAGATCTTAAAAGATATGGAGTCACAATTGAAATTTTGAAAATAATTTTAAGGTTAGGTTTACGTTGGTTCATTGTCCTCCAGTTCAGATATCAGTGATCTGGGAATCAAACTCTGGGCCTTGTATCTGACTTACTGACTCACTGGGTTACAGTTTAATGTTTTTTTTTTTTTTTTTTTTAATGGTTAATTAAATACATTTAGAACTCTTTGGAAAGGAAGCATCTGAAAAGTATGAAAGCATTTCCGAATCACGTTTACGTGTATTAGGTACCTATATGTGCAGGTTGTAATGAGGAATGTTATATAGTAAGGATGGAGAATAGCAAAGACATTGTGTTTAGTTTTTCATAAAGGGTTTGAGATGTTTTTCATATATTTTTATATGTATATTTTAACTTTTCTACCTAAGCTTCTTGAGACTATATTTGGACCGTATAACCTAGATATTTCTTACATTTAATGTGAGCAGATACACTTAACACCATGATATTTGCTGAATATTTTAATGGCCATTCTTTATTGGCAGTAATACCTCAAGTAGTTGACCAGAGCCTTTATGTTCATTTAATTCTACTTTGTAATTCTACTTTTCCTGTGATTTTTCTGGACTATCACAATGTGAGGATCAACTGTGTTTACTGAAATTCGAATTGTGTCATGTGGGGGTTTGTTTCAAGTTTGGAAGTCTCTTAAGAAGTCTGACTCATCTTGCCCTCTTTCCTCAGCTTGCAGCCGTTTGTGATGTATTTGTGGAAAACTATGTCCCTGGCAAACTATCTGCCATGGGCCTGGGGTATGAAGATATAGACAAGATTGCGCCTCACATCGTCTACTGTTCCATCACAGGTATTTTGACCCCACACCCTTGTCAGTGAGTAGATTTTCCAGTTATTGGGTTTCTTTGTCCATGTAAGAAACCTCTTGCTAGTGTTGGTTTTCTTGAAGTGATTCTGCTCTCCCTAGCCCTCACCTTTCAATTAATCGTTAAAGAATATTAACTGAAATGAAGATTTTTCCTATATTTATTGGCTGTTTGTATTTCTTTTTTTTTTTTTTAAAGATTTTATTTATTTATTTATTTGAAAGAGAGAGACACAGCGAGAGAGGGAACACGAGCAGGGGGAGTGCGAGAGGGAGAAGCAGGCCTCCCGCCGAGCAGGGAGCCCGATGTGGGGCTCGATCCTAGGACCCGGGATCATGACCTGAGCCGAAGGCAGATGCTCAATGACTGAGCCACCCAGGCGCCCCTTGGCTGTTTGTATTTCTTCTTGAATTGTATGCCTATAGTTTTTTGCCAGTTTTTCTATTGATATTTTACAGACATTTATAAAGTACTGTTATTAATTCATATGTAGAATTGTAGGTGCAATATTAGTTGGCTGTAGGGTAGCACAGGAAATCAACATATCCCTTTAATTTATTCACAAGTGTTAAGCCCCAGGTGAAGGAAAAGAGTGCTATAAAGTCCTCCAGATTGTTTAGCTGGGGAATGTTGTGGGTGTTTGTGTGTGTGTGTGTGTGTATGTATGTGTATTTAGGTCCAAGGAAAAAAGGTTATCATATTAGTTAAACATTTTTAAGCACTTAACTATTAATTAGGGATGCAATATAGAAAAGTGGCTCGAAAATTCTGAGTTTAATTTTAGTTTTTATCTAATTAGTTTTTAATTAATAGTTTTTATCAGAAAAATTCCTAATATTTGCAGTCTTTATTCATCTACCAAATATTTACAGCAGGCCTATGATTTGCCAGGCAATATTCTAAGGTTCTGGGATGTGGCAGTGAATAGTACATATTTATGCTCTCATGGAGGTTTGCATTATAGGTTAGGGAGATAGTAAATAAATGAACATATTCTTTAGTCTTTTTTGTAATTGAGGCCGGTAGTGATAAGGGCTAAAGAGAAATAAAGTAGGGCAAGAGGGATAGGGTGAGGAGGAGCTATTTTATACTTGGAGATAAGAGAAGGCTCCCTTGGGGGCGCCTGGGGGGCTCAGTTGGTTAAGCGCCTGCCTTTCGCTCAGGTCATGATCTGGGGTCCTGGATTGAGCTCCGTGTTGAGCTCCATGCTCAGCAGGGAGCCTGCTTCTCCCTTTCCTTCTGCCCCTTCCCCCGCATGCTTTTTTCCTCTCTCTCAAATGAATAAATAAAAAAAAAGAAGACTCCCTTGATAAAGTGACATTTGAGCAGAGACCTGGATGAAGTAAAGGAGTGAATCATGTGGATATCGGCAAAGATGGCTTCAGGAAGGAGAAACAGCAAGTGCAAAGGACGTAAGGCAGGAATGTGCTGGGCATATTTGAGGACCATCAAGGGTGGCTGAAGCAGAGTGAGCCAAGGGGAATGTAACAGGAAGAAAAACAGGGAGATGTTGGTTAGCAAGATCACGAAGAGCTTGTTAGAAACTCTTAAGGAATTTGGCTTTTAACTTTGAATAAGTTTGTAAGTTAATGGAGTGTTTTGAACAGAAGAATGATACGATCTGACATATTTTTAAAAGAATCACTTTAGCTACTGTGGTGAGAATAGACTGTAGAGGACAAGGGTAGAAGTGGAAGAACAATTGTGAAGCTATTGAACTACTCCAGGCTAGAGATGCTGGTGGCTTGAATTAGGGTAGGAGTGGTGGAGGTGGTTGAGGAGCGATAGGATTAAAACTGTTTCTTTATTAGTCATAAAGTAATAATAACCAAAATACTCCTGTTTCTATGCATTCAGGTTACTTGAGATATAATAGTACTTTGACTATGACATATTACTTTAGTATAAATAATGCTTTTCACAGTATAATTATGTAGTGCTTTTTTATATAAATTAAGCTATAACTGCAATGTTTGGTTGGTATTATTTTAGAGAGGATGATGAGCCCAGTGATCATTAACTTCTCTACTGAATCAGCATGAGGGACAGGGTCTGTACATAGTAGATGACTCTTTCCTGCTAAATCTGACTCTTTCTTAGATGTACTATTTTATAGATACATAATCACACTTCAATTTTTATGTCTATATATCAATATTTATATGTGTCAGAGAGGAAAAGATTTTTCCTTAAAAATCTCACAGTCCAGTGGAAATATGGAGGTCTAAATTACTAGAATAGGTAAAATATTAATTATGTTCAAATTACCTTGTATCATAAAAATGCTACATAACTAGCAAATGCGAAGTCTTCTATGACAGTAAGTATTTATTTCTCATTCCCATGAATTTGCATTGGCTGAGGTTCAGCTGATCCAGACTGGTTAGATTCCAAGTTTCGGGTTGGGGGCCTGGTGTGCTCTACCTGTCTCTTATACTCCTTGGACCTGTGGCTACCAAATGCATGTTTTCTTCATAGTGAAAGGCAAGAGTACAAGAGAATGAGCCTAACCTCACAAGCACGTTTAAAGCATTAGCTCACATCCCATTTGCTTAACATTCCTTTGGTCAAGGCAAGTCACTCAACCAAGCCCAATACCAATGCATGGTGAAATATATTCTACTCTTGTGGCAGCAACTACAGAGTTACATGGCAAGGTGTGGATTTCAAGAGGGGTAAAGATTAGGAATAATAATGTATTTTATCACGTCCTCCAGCCAAACAAAATGCTAATCTACGTGAGGGGCACCTGGGTGGCTCAGTCGGTTAAGCATCTGACTTCAGCTCAGGTCATGATATCAGGGTCTTGGGATGGAGCTCCACGTCGGGCTGCCGGCTCCCCACTCGGCGGGGAGTCTGCTTCTCCTCTCCCTCTGCCCCTTCCCCTGCTTCTGCGCTCTGTCTCTCGAATAAATAAATAAAATCTAAAAAACAAACAAACAAACAAAAACCTACTCCACTTGGGAAGCCTTACAGTTCCCAAAGTTTCACATCTATCACTGACTATAGTTAAAGCCAAAGTTCTGGGTCCTGGCTTGTGGTTAGAGAATCTCTGCGTTTTCTTCCAGTTCTCAGATCCCATATTAACATTTTAGTGTGTCAAAGGGCCTTGTAGATAGATTGTATAATGCAGAAGTTCTCAGCTATGGGGAGAGTGGGAATTTTGATATGCTTTTCAGTGATAGGGATGGGGGGAATAAGGAGGTGATGGGGAGAGGCCTTTGCAGTCTGAACAAGCACCTTTCATAATTCTGTAATCCTCTACATCACCATCTCCTGACAATCATGAGAAAAACATCCATACAGTTCATTCTACTTTATTTCCTGATAAGGAAACAGGTTCAGAATGTCCAAGGGACCTCTGGTCACACAGCTATTTAATGCCACACGGCTTTAAAACTCAGGCGTCTTGACTAAATATTAAGTGCCTCTATGCTTTCCATATTTAGACGTTTATCATTGTTATGTGTTATATTGTTATAACTTATATTTTTATGTGATGACATGGACTTTCTGATTACAAGACACTGAACAGCTTGACTTGAGAATAGTATATTCTTGCTCTTCTCTCTCATTTGTTGTTAATCATATTTACTCATCAGGGAGTCTAAATGTCAACAGAATCTTTGGAAGCAGAGGTCATTTATGAGTCATGAATTTGGGTGTATATAAAGTAAGGGCCACCTCTTTTGTAAAAGTTTGATATTCTTGGTAATCAGTGTTTGTTTTTGATATTTTTTAATAAGACTGATTAGATCAGTCTAAAGTTGCACATGTTATGATTGGGATCCTAGACTTTCCTGATGTTTCCCAGTGGCATTAGTGTTCTGTCAGTGCTGTCCAAGCCCAAATAGTCTGTTCTCACTCACATGTTGGCCTTATTGCTGATGAGAGTAATCTTAGAATGGTTGGGAGATTTATTTTAATGCACTCTGACAGTTGTGTGGTTGAGATTGCCTCAGTCTGTGAAATCTGGTCTGCAGGACAAGAATGTTAGACTGATCACAAGGGAGGAAGGACCGGATTCTTTTTGTTAGCAAAGTCCTCTTATCATTTCAGAGTATGAACATTAGGGGGCAGTGTTTAAAAAGCTATAATTCACTAGGAATTACTTTTTGAGAAAACTTGTGTTTCCTCTATACCAGTGGGTAGAGAAAATCTCTGAAAAGGTATATTTATATTTTTAAAGAAGTTTTGTTTTTTAAACTGACCGTTCTCTACCTCTCTATACTTTTAGAAGTATAATGATATTCTCCATGGTGCTTTAATTTTAAGTTGTACCTTCTCTCCTTTGTTTCTTCTGAGCATGTTATTAATTATAAAAACTTAGCAGTAAAAATCCTCTCTACCACATTTTAAAATATTTACTTTTTTCTTATTAACTTCATTACTCTTTTTTCCTAGAAGGATAAACATTGCATTATTGATTAGACTAATTTTGTGGAAGGAACATTGTGTATGCCCTTTAATAATTTTTTGGGGGTTGGGAAAGGGCTTTGCAAAGTACCTTTCTGATTTTTGTGAATTCCCCAAAGGCATTTTCTTAATCTCTGTCCTTGTATGGACAGATTACAGGATTCTGCTTGAGGATAGGTCCTCAAGAGGGACCTCAAAACTCATATCAAAGAGAATATTTTAGAGAGTTAGACCCATTCTTTAGTTTTAAATAGAAAAAAAGTCTGAGAGCTCTAAGACAGTTTTAAGGAAGAACCTGGTAGGCACATTTGCCCTGTTAGATATAAAGACTGATACAACCCATAGTAATAAGACGGTGTGGTATTAGTATGAGGATAAAGAAATACATCGATGGAACAGAATAGAGAGCTCAAACATGCTGGCATATGTATGGAAACATGTTTTTTAGGGCTTATACTCTAGATCATTAAAGAATAGAATATGCAGTAATTGATGGTAGAACATTGGTTATCCTTATGGGGAAAGATAAAATTCATCTTGAGTTTATTCTGTGTAGTAACATAATGTT